GTGGGATTTTGGGGAGGAATCATTCCATTTGGGGCGGAATTCCCAAAGAAGCTGCAGCTGCCCTGTCCCTGGCAGTGCCCCGGGACAGGGGGACAGAGGGGACAGGGGGCACAGAGGGCACCGAGCCCCCTGGGGCACACACAGCCTTGAGAAGGGGCAGGAGCCTCGGGGCCGGGCTCGGAGCTGTCCTGGCTCATCCCTCCCCGCTGGCACTGCCAGTTCCTGGGGATGCTCCGTGCCAGCCGCTCCTTTGTGTCCCTGGGGAACGTTCTGTGCCCGCAGCCAGCCCTGGCACCAGCCCTGGCACCGCCGGGCTCCTTCCAGCCCTGGCACCGGCCCTGGGGCATCCGGCTCCTCCGGACTGGGTGCCCTTCCCCCTGCCCGGCTCTGCCGGGCACTGCTGCTGGGGCGGGGGGTGGATTGAGGGGTCCCTGGGGGTGGATTTAGGGATCCCTGGGGATGGATATAGGGACCCCTGGGGGTGGATTTAGGGACCCCTGGGGATGGATTTAGGGGTCCCTGGGGGTGGATTTAGGGACCCCTGGGGGTGGATATAGGGATCCCTGGGGGTGGATTGAGGGACCACTGGGGATGGATTGAGGGGACTCTGGGGATGGATTTAGGGACCCCTGGGGGTGGATTGAGGGGTCCCTGGGGATGGATTTAGGGGTCCCTGGGGGTGGATTTAGGGACCACTGGGGATGGATTGAGGGGCCTCTGGGGATGGATTTAGGGACCCCTGGGGATGGATTTAGGGGTCCCTGGGGGTGGATTTAGGGACCCCTGGGGGTGGATTGAGTGGACTCTGGGGATGGATTGAGGGGTCCCTGGATGCTCCTGTGTCCTGCTGCTGGAGCTAGGGATGGATTTAGGGATCCCTGGGGATGGATTTAGGGGTCCCTGGGGGTGGATTTAGGGATCCCTGGGGGTGGATTTAGGGATCCCTGGAGCCGGGGATGCATTTAGGGGTCCCTGGATGCTCCTGTGTCCTGCTGCTGGAGCTAGGGATGGATTTAGGGATCCCTGGAGCTGAGTGGGGATTTAGGGATCCCCAGGAGTGGATTTGGAGATCCCCAGGGATGGATTTAAGGGTCCCTAGCCTAGGATTTAGGGATCCTTGGAGCTGGGTGTGGATTTAGGGATTCCTAGGGATGGATTTAGGGATTCCTGGCTGTGGATTTAGGGATCCCCAGGGATAGATTTAGGGATCCCTGGTGTGAATTTAGGGATCTCCAGGGATGGATTTAGGGATCCCCAGGGATGGATTTAAGGGTCCCTAGCCTAGGATTTAGGGATCCTTGGAGCTGGGTGTGGATTTAGGGATTCCTGGCTGTGGATTTAGGGATCCCCATGGATGGGTTTAGGGATCCCCAGGGATGGATTTAGGGATCCCCAGGGATGGATTTAGGGATCCCCAGGGATGGATTTAGGGATCCCCAGGGATGGATTTAGGGATCCCTGCTGTGAATTTAGGGATCCCCAGGGATGGATTTAGGGATCCCTGGTGTGAATTTAGGGATCCCCAGGGATGGATTTAGGGATCCCCAGGGATGGATTTAGGGATCCCCAGGGATGGATTTAGGGATCCCCAGGGATGGATTTAGGGATCCCCATGGATGGATTTAGGGGTCCCGGCTGTGCTGGAGGCTGGCAAAGGGAGCAGCTGCGTTCTCTCCTCTCCCGACCCCGCGGGCAGCCCCAGCTCCGCCGGGCTCCTGTGCCAGCCCCTTCCCCCCGCGGAGGAGGAGGAGGAGGAGGAGGAGGGGAGGCAGGGGGACGCTGCCCTTTAAGCAGAGCCCCGTGACATCACCGCCAGCAGCCCTGGGCTCCTCCAGCCCAGCCGGATCCCGGCTCCCGACGCGGCTCCGTCGCCCGTAGCAACGGGCATCTCTGCGCCGTCACCATGGCAACGGCAGCCGGGTGATGGGAGGACATCCCCCACCCCCCTGCCCCCCCCCACGGGGCAGAGCGGACAGCCCCAGGGACACCCCCGTGTCCCCCGTGTCCCCCTCTGGAGTCACCTCCCCTTCCCGGAGCCCCGGGGTGGGGGAAGGGCTGGGGCCGGGCGATCCCTGCGGGCCCTCCCACCCCAAACCCTTGTGGGATGAGCAGGGATTTGAGGCCGAGCTCAGATCCCAAATCCAGCCTGGGATAGGGGAAGGGATCCCACAGAATCCTTGTGGTCCCCTCCACCCAAACCCTGATGGGGTGAGCAGGGATTTGAGGCTCAGCATCCCAAATCCAGCGTGGGGTAGGGGAAGGGATCCCACAGATTCTTGTGGTCCCCTCCACCCAAACCCTGATGGGGTGAGCAGGGATTTGAGGCTCAGCATCCCAAATCCAGCCTGGGATAGGCGAAGGGATCCCACAGATCCTTGTGGTCCTTCCCACCCCAAACCCTTGTGGGGTGAGCAGGGATTTGAGGCCAAGCTCAGATCCCAAAGCTGTCCCTGCCCCACAGACCCCACAGATCCCTGTGGTCTCTTGCATCCCAAACCCCTGTGGGGTGAGCAGGGATTTGAGCCTGAGCTCGGATCCCAAATCCATGCTGGGATAGGGGGAGGACTGGAACTGGATGATCCCTGTGGTCCCTCTCACCCCAAACCCTCATGGGGTGAGCAGGGATTTGAGGTCGAGTACAGATCCCAAATCCAGCCTGGGATAGGGGAAGAGACCCCACAGATCCCTGTGGTCCTTTCCACCCCAAACCTCATGGGGTGAGCAGGAGAGCTCAGATCCTAAATCCATCCTGGGATAGGGGATCCCTGCCCCACAGATCCCTGTGGTCCTTTCCACCCCAAACCTCATGGGGTGAGCAGGAGAGCTCAGATCCCAAATCCACCCTGGGATAGGGGATCCCTGCCCCACAGATCCCTGTGGTCCTTTCCACCCCAAACCTCGTGGGGTGAGCAGGAGAGCTCAGATTCCCAAATCCAGCCTGGGGTAGGGGATCCCTGCTCCACAGATCCCTGTGGTCACTCTCACCCCAAACCCTCATGGGGTGAGCGGGGCTTTGAGGATCCCAAATCCCCTGGGCTGTCCCCGTGTCCCTGCCGTGTGGACACCCCAGGAACTAAAGCTTTCTGAGCATTATTGATCCCCCTCTGAGCCTGCTCCTCTTTTCCCCTTGGAAAAGGCCTTGGGAGCAGCTCCCAGCGTGGGACGTGCCCAGAAACCCCAGAGCTTTTGGGATTGGAGCCCAGAAACCCCAGAGCTTTTGGGATAGGAGCCCAGAAACCCCAGAGCTTTTGGGATAGGAGCCCAGAAACCCCAGAGCTTTTGGGATTGGAGCCCCTGGAGAAGGGGCCAAGCACCAGGGACAGCTGGGGCCTTAATTTAGGAGCAGAAAGTGCTGACCCAGGCAGGGTCCTGTTACCCTGCAGAGTTTTGTTTTCACCTGGGGCTCATCTGGAGCTCCTGGGGGGGATTTGGGATTTCTCAGGGACCCCGGTGCTGGCACTGCCCTGGTGGGAGGCAGGAATGGGGTCTGGAATGGCTCAGCTGCCAGCGGGGGGTGGAAACCCTCCCTGGGACACAGGAGAGGGCAGAACCCCTGCTCCCTTTATTCCCAAAAACCCAGGGTTGTGCCTTGCTGGATCCATTTATTCCCCAAAAAAATGAGGCTGGATCCATTTATATCCCCCCAAAAAAACGAGGCTGTGCTATGCTGGATGCATTTATTCCCAAAAAAAATGAAGCTGTGCCATGCTGGGTCCATTTGTTCCCCAAAAAAATGAGGCTGTTCCACGTTTTCCTGTGACTCCCAGCTTGTCCCTGTCCCCTTGGGGATCCAGGACGAGGAATTTCAGGAATTTCGTTTGGTGATTCCCCAGCAGAGCTGCCCGTCCTCCCTGCCCTGATTTTGGGCAGCTTTGGGGAGGTTTGCCCTCTGAAATCCCGGCGGGATTGGGGCTGGGAATGCGGGGAGGGGTGGCACAGCACCAGGTCCCCGGCGCTGGTGGCACCTGCTGGCACCTGGTGGCAGTGCCCAGGGCTGTGCCCAGCCTTTCCCTGCCCGTCCATTTCCCTTTTTCCCGGGATTCCATCCGCCGGGATAATGTCGTTAGAGCTTCTCCTCGGGGCTTTCCTGCACTTTATTTGGATTTTCTGCGTTCCCGGCTCCACTCTGCCCGTGCCAGCCGTGCCCGGGGTGCCCCGGGGAGGGAGAGGATGCTCCGGGGATACTCCGGGGATGCCTCGGGGAGGGGGAGGATGCTCCGGGGAGGGAGAGGATGCTCCGGGGATACTCCGGGGATGCCTCGGGGAGGGGGAGGATGCTCCGGGGAGGGAGAGGATGCTCCGGGGATACTCCGGGGATGCCTCGGGGAGGGGGAGGATGCTCCGGGGAGGGAGAGGATGCTCCGGGGATACTCCGGGGATGCCTCGGGGAGGGGGAGGATGCTCCGGGGAGGGAGAGGATGCTCCGGGGATACTCCGGGGATGCCTCGGGGAGGGGGAGGATGCTCCGGGGAGGGAGAGGATGCTCCGGGGATACTCCGGGGATGCCTCGGGGAGGGGGAGGATGCTCCGGGGAGGGAGAGGATGCTCCGGGGATACTCCGGGGATGCCTCGGGGAGGGGGAGGATGCTCCGGGGATCCTCCGGGGAGGATGCTCCAGGGAGGGAGAGGATGCTTCAGGGATACTCCGGGGATACTCCGGGGAGGGGGAGGATGCTCCGGAGAGGAGGATGCTCCGGGGATACTCCGGGGAGGATGCTCCAGGGAGGGAGAGGATGCTTCAGGGATGCTCCGGGGATACTCCGGGGACGATGCTCCAGGGAGGGAGAGGATGCTTCAGGGATGCTCCGGGGATACTCCGGGGAGGATGCTCCGGGGAGGGAGAGGATGCTCCGGGGATACTCCGGGGAGGATGCTCCGGGCTCCCCTTTCACAGCTCCCGGAGGGTCTCCACCCTCCCGATTTCCCCTTCCCCAGCCTCACTCGGGGATCCGAGCCTGGCTGGCTCCACCCTGGGCTGAGATTCCCCCTTTGGCCCGCAGCCCTTCGGGGAGTGGTGCAAGCTGCAGCCCAGAGATGCTGCCAAGATGCCCGAGAGCGCCTGGAAGTTGCTTTTCTACTCCTTGTCGTGGTCCTACGGCGCCTACCTGCTCTTCTGCACCGACTACCCCTTCTTCCACGACCCCCCCTCTGTCTTCTACGGTGAGGATGGCAGAGCCAGCCCCTAAATTCCCTTTTTTTTACCCTGATCTGGGTGCAGAAAGGGCGCGAGGGGGTGTCTGGGCGTTCCCTTCCTTCAGTCACTTGGTGGCTGCTGGAGGGGCTGAGTGAATCAGGAAACAATGAAATCATGGATAATTAAATCATGGACAATTCAATCATGGAGTGGGCTGGGCTGAGGAGGATCGTGAGGATCAGCTCATGGCCGTGGGCAGGGGCAGAAGGTCGGGCTGAAAAATCTCCTCATTCCAACCCTGCTCAGGGCAGGGTTTAAAAATCTCCTCATTCCAACCCTGCTCAGGGCAGGGTTTAAAAATCTCCTCATTCCAACCCTGCTCAGGGCAGGGTTTAAAAATCTCCTCATTCCAACCCTGCTCAGGGCAGGGTTTAAAAATCTCCTCATTCCAACCCTGCTCAGGGCAGGGTTTAAAAATCTCCTCATTCCAACCCTGCTCAGGGCAGGGTTTAAAAATCTCCTCATTCCAACCCTGCTCAGGGCAGGGTTTAAAAATCTCCTCATTCCAACCCTGCTCAGGGCAGGGTTTAAAAATCTCCTCATTCCAACCCTGCTCAGGGCAGGGTTTAAAAATCTCCTCATTCCAACCCTGCTCAGGGCAGGGTTTAAAAATCTCCTCATTCCAACCCTGCTCAGGGCAGGGTTTAAAAATCTCCTCATTCCAACCCTGCCCAAATCAGGGTTTAAAAGTCTTCTCATTCCAACCCTGCTCAGGGCAGGGTTTAAAAATCTCCTCATTCCAACCCTGCCCAAATCAGGGTTTAAAAATCTCCTCATTCCAACCCTGCCCAAATCAGGGTTTAAAAATCTCCTCATTCCAACCCCTGCACTAAATAATGATTTAAAAATCTCCTCATTCCAACCCTGCGATGCTGCTGCACCACCTGGTCACCCTCACGCTGCTGGCCTCCTCCTACGCCTTCAGGTGAGCCTGGCCTCCCTCCCGCCCTTCAGGTGAGCCTGACCCTCCCTCCTGCCTCCTCCCGCCCTTCAGGTGAGCCCTGACCCTCCCTCCTGCCCTTCAGGTGAGCCCTGACCCTCCCTCCTGCCCTTCAGGTGAGCCCTGACCCTCCCTCCTGCCTCCTCCTACGCCTTCAGGTGAGCCTGGCCTCCCTCCCTCCCTCCAGGTGAGCCTGGCCTCCCTCCCACCCTTCAGGTGAGCCCTGACCCTCCTTCCTGCCTCCTCCCGCCCTTCAGATGAGCCTGGCATCCCTCCTGCCTCCTCCCGCCCTTCTGGTGAGCCCTGACCCTCCCTCCTACCTCCTCCTGCCCTTCAGGTGAACCTGACCTCCCTCCCTCCCTTCAGATAAGCCCGACCCTCCCTCCTTGCCTCCTCCTGTGCCTTCATTTCCCCCCCTTTTCCCATTTTTCCCCATGGTTTTTCCCCATTTCATTTCCCCATTTTCCCCGTGGCTTTCCCCCATTTCTCCACAGTTTTTCTCCATTTCCCCATGGTTTTTCCCCATTTCCCCATGATTTGTCCCATTTCCCCACATTTTTTCCCCATTTTCCCCCATTCCCCTGCATTTTTCCCCATTTTTTTCCCATTTCCCCACATTTTTCCCCACGTTTTTCCCCCATTTCCCTGCATTTTTCCCCATTTTTTCCCATTTCCCCACATTTTTCCCCACGTTTTTCCCCCATTTCCCTGCATTTTTCCCCATTTTTTCCCATTTCCCCACATTTTTCCCCACGTTTTTCCCCCATTTCCCTGCATTTTTCCCCATTTTTTCCCATTTCCCCGCGGTTTTCCCCCATTTCCCCGCAGCTTTCCCGCATTTCCCTGCTGTTGCCCCCAGGGCCCTTCAGGTGAGCCCTGACCCTCCCTCCTGCCTCCTCCTACGCGTTCAGGTGAGCCTGGCCTCCCTCCAGGTGAGCCTGATCCTCCCTCCTGCCTCCTCCCACCCTTCAGGTGAGCCTGACCCTCCCTCCTGCCTCCTCCCACCCTTCAGGTGAGCCTGAACCTCCCTCCTGCCTCCTCCTGCCCTTCAAGTGAACCTGACCCTTCCTCCCTTCAGATGAGCCCGACCCTCCCTCCTTGCCTCCTTCTATGCCTTTGTTTCCCCCCATTTTCCCTATTTTCCCCATTTCCCCATGGTTTTTCCCCATTTCATTTCCCCATTTTCCCCCATGTTCCCCATGTTTTTTCCCCATTTCCCCCGTGGCTTTCCCCCATTTCTCCACAGTTTTTCTCCATTTCCCCATGGTTTTTCCCCATTTCCCCATGATTTGTCCCATTTCCCTGCAGTTATCCCCATTTCCCCACAGTTTTTCCCCATTTCCCCACAGTTTTTTCTCCATTTCCCCATTGTTTTTCCCATTTCCCCCATTTCCCCATGGTTTTCCCCCATTTTTTTCCCATTTACCCCATTTTTCCCCACGTTTTTCCCCCATTCCCCTGCATTTTTCCCCATTTTTCCCCATTTCCCCGCGGTTTTTCCCCATTTCCCCATGTTTTTTCCCATTTACCCCATTTTCCCCCATAGTTTTTCCCCATTTTTTCCCATTTCCCCACATTTTTCCCCACGTTTTTCCCCATTCCCCTGCATTTTTCCCCATTTTTTCCCATTTCCCCACATTTTTCCCCCCGTTTTTCCCCATTCCCCTGCATTTTTCCCCATTTTTTCCCATTTCCCAGCGGTTTTTCCCCATTTCCCTGCATTTTTCCCTGTTTTTCCCATTTCCCCGCGGTTTTCCCCCATTTCCCCGCAGCTTTCCCGCATTTCCCCGCTGTTGCCCCCAGGTACCACAACGTGGGCGTGCTGGTGCTGTTCCTGCACGACGTCAACGACGTGCAGCTGGAGTTCACCAAGCTCAACGTGTACTTCAAGCACCGCGGCGGGGTCTACCACCGCCTCAACGACGTCGTCTCCAACATCGGCTGCCTGGCCTTCAGCGTCAGCTGGTGGGTCTGGTCCCTCATCCCAATCCTGACCTTCCTCCCTGCTGGATTTGTGTCCCTGATCCCAATCCTGACCTTCCTCCCCTGGTGGGTCTGGGTCCCTCGTCCCAATCCTGACCTTCCCTGTGGGTCTGGGACCCTCATCACAATCCTGATCTTCCCTGTGGGTCTGGGTCCCTGGTCCCAATCCTGACCTTCCCTGGTGGGTCTGGGTCCCCTGATCCCAATCCTGACCTTCCTCCCTGCTGGATTTGTGTCCCTCATCCCAATCCTGACCTTCCCTGTGGGTCTGGGTCCCTGATCCCAATCCTGACCGTCCTCCCTGCTGGATTTGTGTCCCTGATCCCATTCCTGACCTTCCCTGGTGGGTCTGGGTCCCTCAGCCCAATCCTGACCTTCCTCCCTGCTGGATTTGTGCCCCTGATCCCAATCCTGACCGTCCTCCCTGCTGGATTTGTGCCCCTGATCCCAATCCTGACCGTCCTCCCTGCTGGATTTGTGCCCCTGATCCCAATCCTGACCGTCCTCCCTGCTGGATTTGTGCCCCTGATCCCAATCCTGACCGTCCTCCCTGCTGGATTTGTGCCCCTGATCCCAATCCTGACCGTCCTCCCTGCTGGATTTGTGCCCCTGATCCCAATCCTGACCTTCCCTGGTGGGTCTGGGTCCCTCATCCCAATCCCGACCCTTCCCTGGTGGGTTTGGGTCCCTGATCCCAATCCTGACCTTTCTCCCCTGGTGGGTCTGGGTCCCTCATCCCAATCCTGACCTTCCTCCCCTGCTGGATTTGTGTCCCTGATCCCAATCCTGACCTTTCCTGTGGGTCTGGGTCCTCTGATCCCAATCCTGACCTTCCTCCCTGCTGGATTTGTGTCCCTGATCCCAATCCTGACCTTCCCTGTGGGTCTGGGTCCCTGATCCCAATCCTGACCGTCCTCCCTGCTGGATTTGTGTCCCTGATCCCAATCCTGACCTTTCCTGTGGGTCTGGGTCCTCTGATCCCAATCCTGACCTTCCTCTCTGCTGGATTTGTGTCCCTGATCCCAATCCGGACCTTCCCCGGTGGGTTTGGGTCCCCTGATCCCTATCCCGACCTTCCTCCCTGCTGGATTTGTGTCCCTGACCCCACTCCCGACCCTCCCTGATCCCAATCCTGTCCCTCTTTGGCGGATTTTTGTCCCCCTGATCCCAGTCCCCTCTCTCCTCCCAGCATCTCTCCTCTGGTTTTGGCACCTCCCAGCATCTCCTGGGGGATTTTGGCTGGGAAGGGGCCGAGCTCCTGCTGGGCTCGGAATCCCTCTGTAGTGCCGGGTCTGTCACCAGCGAGTGCCTGTGAAATTCCTGTGACACGGGGGGAGGAGGAGGAGGAGGAGCAGGAGGAGCAGGAGGAGGACATGGATGCGCTTTTCTCGGCAGGAAAAGGGAGGCAGGGCTGTCCCAAAATCCAGCTAATCCTGGAAAACAAAGAGATGGAGGATGGATGCATGGATGGATGATGGATGGATGGATGCACGGATCCATGGATGGATGGACACAGGGATGGATGGACGGATGATGGATGGATGGAGGGATGGATGGATGGATTGATGGATGGATGGATGCACGGATCCATGGATGGATGGACACAGGGATGGATGGATGATAGATGGACACAGGGATGGATGGATGATGGATGAGCAGGCTGTGCTGGCTCTGTCCCTTTCCCAGGAGCAGGAATTGGGGTCCAGGGGCCAGCAGGCTGTGCTGGCTCTGTCCTCTGCCAGGGGGACACTGACCCAGGCTGTCCCTGTCCCTGGCAGGTTCTGGTTCCGTCTCTACTGGTTCCCCCTCAAGGTGCTCTACGCCACCTGCCACTCCAGCCTGCAGTCCGTCCCCAACATCCCCTTCTACTTCTTCTTCAACGCCCTGCTGCTGGTTCTCACCCTGATGAACATCTACTGGTTCCTGGTGGGTGATCCCGGGCTGGTGGCCGCCCCTCAGGGAGCTGCTCTGCCCAAACTGGGCTTGGGGACAGCAGGGAGGTGTCCCCTCCCCTTGGGGACAGCAGGGAGGTGTCCCCTCCCCTTGGGGACAGCAGGGAGGTGTCCCCTCCCCTTGGGGACAGCAGGGAGGTGTCCCCTCCCCTTGGGGACAGCGCTCTCCCGGCTGCTGCTGCTGGCATGGCAGCGATGGAGGAGGGTTTGGGGGGGTCAGGGGAGGGGGGAAGGCTGGGGGGGAATTCAGACTGTCTGACACCCCGCGGGGAGTGATAAGGGGTTTGAGAGAGGTGTGAACGCTTCTGGGAGCGCTCCTGCCCCCCAGAAAGGGGACTGGAGAGAGGTGTGAACGCTCTGGGAATGCTCCTGCATGCCCCAGGGAGGGCTGGAGAGCGGAGATCCGTGGGGCAGGGCAAGGAGCTGTGATTCCATCATCCCTGGGATGAAACCAGTGGAGTTCCACCCCATCCCGGGGCTGTGACCATCCCGGGGGGGAGCTGCCCTGCCCGAAATGGGGTGGGGGCAGCAGGGAAAGGTCTCCCCCGGCTCGGGCCGTGCCTGAGGGTCCCTGTCCCCCTGTGCCCCCCAGTACATCGTGCTGTTCGTGGCCAAGGTGCTGCTGGGGCAGATGCAGGAGGTGAACGATGTCCGTGAGTACGACGTGGAGGAGAGCAGGAAACCCGGGAAGGAGGCTGGGATCCAGCTGCCCCAGGCTCTGAAGGAAGGGTACGTGGAGTTCCAGACTGGTTTGGGTCAGAAAACCCTAAAGCACATCCAGCTCCACCCCTGGGACACTTCCCATGATCCTGGGATCTGGCCTTGGGCACTTCCAGGGATGCAGGGGCAGCCACAGCTGCTCTGGGAATTCCCTCCCCACCCTCCCAGCCAGGAATCCCTTCCCAAGATCCCACCCAAATCTCCCTTTTCCCAGTTTAAATCCACTCCCTGTGTCCTGTCCCTGCAGGCCTTGTCCCCAGTCCCTCTCCAGCTCTCCTGGAGCCCCTTCAGGCCCTGCAAGGGCTCTGAGCTCTCCCTGGAGCTTCTCCCTCGTGCTGGATCCATCAACCTGCACAAATCTGGGGACAGGAGTGTCCCCAGCAGGGCACTGGGGAGGGATTTGCCGTGGGCACGGGGCTGACCCCGGGCTCTGCTCTTCCCCAGGCTGCACCTCAAGAACGGCCTCGTGAAGGACAAGAGGTTGTGAGGGCGGCGTGGCCACGGCTGCCAGGGCCTGGCACTGCCCAGGACCCTGCTCTGGGACCCTGCCAAGGACAGGCCCGAGGAGGACTTCACCCCTGCCCCCTGCCAGCCCTGCCCGGAGCCGGGGAGGACACGCCACTGCCAGGACAGGGCCCCTCGGGGCTGGGCTGTGCCCTGTCACCTGTCCCCTGGGGCTGGGGGCTCCCTGTGGCCCAGTTTGGCTGGGGGACTGGTGGCTGTGCTGGCCCAGGTGGGATCAGGGGCTGGCTTTGTGTCCCTGGTGTTGCTCCGCGTTCTCAGCCCCGCTGTGACACCCCCTGGACCCTCCCTCTGAGCCCTCCCCAGCTCCAGCCTGGGCAGGGCAGCTCCTGTCCTGCCCCGGGAAGGGGACCCCGAGGCCAGCTGTGCTCCAGCTGTGCTCCAGCTGCCACCCAGGGACTGCAGAGGTGACCTTGGAGGAGTCACTGCCTGGAAATCCACCTCAGGAGCTCCAGCCCAGCCCTCTGGGGGAGGCCCAGGAGCTTCAATTTCCTTGGAAAAAAAACCCGTGTAGGTTCTGGAGCGGCTTAAAAAGGGTCCTGCAGGTCCCTGCTGGGGGATTCTCCCCAGGGCTGTCCCCTTGCTGAAGGAAGAACAGAGAATTCCTGCTCCTGGGATGGATTTCTGGGAAGAACAGAGAATTCCTGCTCCCACGGTTGGGATTTTGGGAAGAACAGAATTCCTGCTCCTGGGATGGATTTCCAAAAAAAACCCCACAGAATTCCTGCTCCTGGGATGGGATTTTGGGAAGAACAGAGAATTCCTGCTCCCACGGTTGGGATTTTGGGAAGAACAGAATTCCTGCTCCTGGGATGGATTTCCAAAAAAAACCCCACAGAATTCCTGCTCCTGGGATGGGATTTTGGGAAGAACAGAGAATTCCTGCTCCCAGGGCTGAGTTTTTGGGAAGAGCAGAGAATTCCTGCTCCCAGGCCTGGATTTCCAGGCAGCTCCAGCCCTGCAGGCTCCAGGTCCCTGCCCTGGGCAGCTCTGTGGGTTTGGGTCCCTGTTGTCCCCTCCCAGGCCAGGACCCTCAGCTCCCTCCCCCAGCAGCCAGAGGGGGATCCAGGGCATCAATTCCAGGTGGGAATTTGTGGGATTTTCCATGTTTGGTCTCTCACAGCGATTCCCCTCCAGACTGGTTGTGTCTGAGCCAGGGACAGACCCCGAATGGGGGTGGTGGGAATGTCCCCAAGCTGTGGCAGGACCTTGTCCCTCCCCGTGACTTCCAGGGTGTCAGAGGAGCACCCCAATGCTGGAATTCCTTGTTTTCCCATGGGATTTGCAGGGCAGGAAGGGAACTGATCCCCCAGCATGGGCCGGAGCAGAGCTGGGGTGACCTTGGGGGGGATAAAACTGAATTTCCCAGTGCTGGCATTGAGCTGGGTGGCTCCAGCTGCCTTTGGGGGCTGTGACATCGAGGTGGCAGTGGCAGCTCTGCTGTGATGGCCAGGAGGGGACCTGGGGGTGCCTGGCTGGGGCAGGACCCGGCGCTGGGTGGGGACCGGTGGTTTTGGGGCCGATGGTTTTGGGGGCCGATGGTTTTTGGGGCTGTGTGAAGCAGGACTTGGATGGTTGGATGTGCTGGAGGTCGATGGCTTTAAGAGAGAAGTGCTGGACACCCGTGATTGAGTTAAAAAAGGGATTTTTTGGGAAGGAAGAGCCGGCTCCGGGCCTGCCCCGAGCTCCGGGCAGCGCTTTTGGGAGCAGCGCTGGGTTCCCATCCTCACCCCTGAGCCCACATTGAGTTTAAAAAGGGATTTTTTGGGAAGGAAGAGCCGGCTCCGGGCCTGCCCCCAGCTCCGGGCAGCGCTTTTGGGAGCAGCGCTGGGTTCCCATCCTCACCCCTGAGCCCACATTTTGTTTAAAAAGGGATTTTTTGGGAAGGAAGAGCCGGCTCCGGGCAGCGCTTTTGGGAGCAGCGCTGGGTTCCCATCCTCACCCCTGAGCCCCCGGACCGTGCTGGAGCCCGAGCGGCCGCTCTGGAGATGCCGGAGAGACGGCGGAGCCCCTGAAAGGGTTAAGGGGTGCCGGGAGCCGCAGGATCCCACCCAGAGCCGGGAATCCCGCGGTGCTGATTGAGCTCCGAGCCCATCAAAGGCTCCGAGCAGGGACCCAACCCCCGCGGGTGCCCGGCCCGGGCTCTTCTTTGTCTGGGCGAGCAGAGCAGCGATGTGGCTCCTCCGCAGCCTCGCCTGGGCTCTCCTGAGCCCCGTCCTGGCCACCGAGCTGAGCCCGCAGGAGAGCTCCCTGCTCAAATCGCTGGGTCTGAGCGCCAGGCCCAGCCCCAAAAGCCCCGTGCCGGTGCCGCCCGTGCTCTGGAGGATCTTCCAGAAGAGGAGGACGCTGCCCTGGCCGGAGGGAGAGCCGGACTCCTGTAGGGTGGAGGAGTTTAATGTCCCCGGGAACATCGTCCGAGTCTTCGCGGACCAAGGTACAGCCGCGCCGCCTTTGGGCTTCCCCGGGCTCGAGCCTTGGCTGCTCCGCTCCTTCCTTCCTTCCTTCCACGTGTCCCGAGGCCGGAGCTGGATCCCAGGAGAAATCCCTGCGGGCTGGAGTCCCTGTGGATGCTGCCGGTGATGGTTTATGGGTTTGGAACCCCGAGGCGGGGCGTGAGGCGGGCAGCTGTGCCAGGTTCTGGAGCCCCCTAAATCCCTCCCGAGGTGCTGGCTTGATCCCAGCCCTGATCCCAGGCTTGATCCCAGCCCTGATCCCAGCCCTGATCCCAGCCCAGATCCCAGCCCTGATCCCATCCCTGATCCAGCCCAGATCCCAGCCCTGATCCCAGCCCTGATCCCAGGCTTGATCCCAGCCCTGATCCAGCACAGATCCCAGTCCTGATCCCAGTCCTGATCCCAGCCCTGATCCCAGCCCAGATCCCAGGCTTTGGGGTCCACGGTGCTGGAGGTGAGTGGAATGTGGCTGCAGGAACGGGATCAGCAGCAGCTCGGGCAGGGATGGGATCGACCCCCGGGGCTGCCTCCCCCCCTCCTCATTGTCCCAGCGCCTCTGGCTGACCCCAGGGCACATCTGGCTGACCCCAGGGCACATCTGGCTGCTCCGAGCCGTTCTCAGTCCCCTGGGGACTGTTTGATTGGTGTCCCTGAAGTCTCAAGGCACTCCGGAGCTCTTTTCTCTCGTGGTTCCAATTTGGCTCGGGCTGGTTGAACCAGGCTCCCCAAATTCGCTGCCGTTCACCTTCTTTTTCCCGATCCTGCTCAGCCCCAGCCCATCCCTGGAGCTGATCCTGCTCACCCCGAGGGTTCCCCCATCCCTGGAGCTGATCCTTCATCCCGAGGGTTCCCCCAGCCCATCCCTGGAGCTGATCCTGCTCACCCCGAGGGTTCCCCGAGCCCACCCCGGGAGCTGTTCCTGCTCACCCCGAGGGTTCCCTGAGCCCATCCCGGGAGCTGTTCCTGCTCACCCCTAGGGTTCCCCCATCCCTGGAGCTGATCCTGCTCACCCCGAGGGTTCCCCCAGCCCATCCCCGGAGCCGATCCTGCCCAGCCCCCGCGTTCAGCCGCCCCCACCCCTGTTTCTCCTTTGCCAGGCCGCTTCCTCCCCGCGGGGCAGCCCCAGGGCTGGCTGTGCCTGCGGAGGCTCCTGTTCTTCAACCTCTCCGCGCTCGAGGAGGGCGAGCGCCTGACCATGGCCCAGCTGGAGCTCCAGTTCCACCACAACTCCTACCACGGCCCGAGCCCGGGGCAGGTTTTGGAGCTCCGGCTGTACCCGGTGTCCCCCCGGGGGCAGCCCCAGCCCGGCCGGCGGCCGCTGCTGGAGCGCTCGTTCGTCCAGCTGCGCAAATCCCTCGTGTTCAACCTGAGCGCGGCGCTGAAGGACGGCGAGCTGCCGGGCAGGGATTTGTCCTTCGTGCTGGAGATCTCGCTGAGCGGCCGGGCCGGGCACGCCGGGACCCCGCGGAGCCTCTGCGCCAGCACCGACGCCTTCGCGGCCACCTCGCTGCTGCTGGTGACGCTGGGCCGGCAGTGCCAGGCTGGCCGCAGGAGGAGGAGCGCCCCGAGCCCCCCGGTGACCCCCAGCCCCCTGTGCAAGCCCCGCCGGCTCTACATCAGCTTCAGCGACGTGGGCTGGGAGAACTGGATCATCGCCCCGCAGGGCTACCTGGCCAACTACTGCCGCGGGGACTGTCCCTTCCCGCTGGCGGCCGAGCTGAACAGCACCAACCACGCCGTGCTGCAGACCATGGTGCACTCGCTGGACCCCCAGGGCACCCCCCAGCCCTGCTGCGTGCCCGTCAGGCTCTCCCCCATCTCCATCCTCTACTACGACAACAGCGACAACGTGGTGCTGCGGCACTACGAGGACATGGTGGTGGACGAGTGCGGCTGCAGGTAGCGGGGAAGGACGGACAGAGGGGGGAACAATGGACAAACGGGGAACGATGGACAGAGGAGGGAACGATGGATAAAGGAGGGAATGATGGACAAAGGGGGAACGATGGATAAAGGGGGGGAATAGTGGACCAAGGAGGGAATGATGGATAAAGGAGGGAATGATGGACAAAGGGGGGAATGATGGATAAACGGGGAATGATGGACAGAGGAGGGAATGATGGACAAAGGGGGGAATGATGGACAGAGGAGGGAATTATGGATAAATGGGGAATGATGGATAAAGGAGGGAATGATGGACAAAGGGGGGAATGATGGATAAACGGGGAATGATGGACAGAGGAGGGAATGATGGACAAAGCCGGGATGTTTTTTTATTGATGAAGCCCTGCTGAGCTCAGGGCTGCCCTCTGTACCGGGTTAGGCTGGCACTGAGGGTCGGTGCTGGTTTAGGATCAGCTGGGAGGGGGCTGTGGGGTTATGACCAGGCCTGGTGCTCGGTCCCTTCTCGGCGGGGGACGCTGGCACCGCGCTGTGAATCCCACATTTCCCCCCTCGCGGCTTTTTGGGGTTTTTGGCTGAACTCTGCAGATTTCTCAGGGCATAAATGACTTTTCTGGGTGAAATGGGGCTGGGGGTTCCCTGGGGCGTGGTCCAGCTGCAGGGACAGGGATGCAGTGAGCAAATCCCTTGGCAGAGCCAGGCAGGAGCTTCCTCTGTGCTCTGGGAGCTGTTTCCAGGGTGTGGTTGGTGATGGGATGGTTTGGGGACAGGGCTTGTGTTGGGTGGCCAAATGCAGTGGAGGTTTTGCCTAAAAAAAATGAAGGTTTTGAGGAAGGAATGATGGACAAAGCCGGGAACAAGCCCCGCTGGGAAGGCCCCGCTGAGCTCAGGGCTGCCCTCTGTGCTGGGTTAGGCTGGCACTGAGGGTCGGTGCTGGTTTAGGATCAGCTGGGAGGGGGCTGTGGGGTTATGACCAGGCCTGGTGCTCGGTCCCTTCTCGGCGGGGGACGCTGGCACCGCGCTGTGAATCCCACATTTCCCCCCTCGCGGCTTTTTGGGGTTTTTGGCTGAACTCTGCAGATTTCTCAGGGCATAAATGACTTTTCTGGGTGAAATGGGGCTGGGGGTTCCCTGGGGCGTGGTCCAGCTGCAGGGACAGGGATGCAGTGAGCAAATCCCTTGGCAGAGCCAGGCAGGAGCTTCCTCTGTGCTCTGGGAGCTGTTTCCAGGGTGTGGTTGGTGATGGGATGGTTTGGGGACAGGGCTTGTGTTGGGTGGCCAAATGCAGTGGAGGTTTTGCCTAAAATGAAGGTTTTCCCTAAAAAATGGAAATTTTACCTAAAAATTGAGGTTTTGCTTAAAAAAAAAAAAGGAGATTTTACCTAAAAATTGGAGATTTTGCTTTTAAAAAAGGATATTTTACCCAAGAAATCCACTGGGAGCCGCGTGCCGGGGCAGGATCCTGCAGGGAACGTGGCTGAGGGAATCCAGGGCGTGCTGGGCTCAGTGGCTCTGCCCTCCCAGCCCGCCGGGAGTCAGTGTTAATTCATTAATTTACCTCATTTGCAAACAGATGAGCCCAGGCTGTCCCCGAGTGTCCCGGGGCAGGAGAGGATATTTTACCCAAGAAATCTGCTGGGAGCCGCGTGCCAGGGCAGGATCCTGCAGGGAACGTGGCTGAGGGAATCCAGGGCGTGCTGGGCTCAGTGGCTCTGCCCTCCCAGCCCGCCGGGAGTCAGTGTTAATTCATTAATTTACCTCATTTGCAAACAGATGAGCCCAGGCTGTCCCCGAGTGTCCCGGGGCAGGAGCCTGGGGCAAGGGCAGAGCTCAGAGCTCCGCACGCTTTTGCTTCTCCGGGTTGTTTTGGGTGGGTTTGTTGGGTTTTGTGCCGGCTGGCAGCCCCGGGCCCTTGGTGGTGTCACTGAGGGGCAGCAGGGACCCGAATTTGGGCCATTTCCCATCCTTGAGCTCTGCTCTCCCCTTCCACTGCAGGGGCTGAGCCGAGCTTTGGAGCCCAGCCCAGCTGAGCTGGACCTGGGTGTGTGAAACCACCCGAGCCAGGCAGGCTTTGGGGATTGTGGGGACACGGAAAAGGAATCCCAGTTAGACTTGAATTCTTTTCTCTTTATTTTTGAACTGTGAAGCCATGGTGCAGCTTTGGGTTTTTTGCTGTTTTCTCACCTCCTCCCCCCAGGGGAAGCACTGAGGGTTTCACCACTGGGGGTGCCTTGGGTTGGTGGTTTGTTTTTTTTTTTGTTTTCACACCCAAAACGTGGAGCTGCAGACCCAGCCTGGAGCAGCTTGAGCTGGATTCCCATTCCCAAATCCAGGTGTTTCCACCCAGCCCTGCTCTGCTCCATTTCAGTGGTTAAAGGGCTGAACTCCAGGAGCCATTTAATCCCGATTTTAGACGGGCACAGGAAGAAAACCTTGAAGTATTTCTGGGTTTGTGGCCACCCAGGGGGGAGTGCCAGCCAGGACAGGACCTGGGCTCAGCCTGCCCTGAGTCTGTGCCCAGGGTGGTGCCAAGGCCAGGCCTAAACCCCCCCAGACCCAGCTTTGAGCCCCCAGCCCTGAGCCTGGCAGGACAAAGCCATTTTCGTGTTTCCTCCAGGCTGGGAGCTCTTCCCAAATCCTGGGGCTGGAAGAGAGGGGGGGCCCTTCCCAGTATTCCCAGTTCTCCCAGTTGAGTCGCTCACCCCCTCTGCTATGCACACCCCCACTTTTGTACTAGTCTTGTGTTTAAAAAAAGTAATAAACTTGAAGTTTATACAATCAGACTAAAGCTTTAATGAACGTTGCATGGTTTCCTCATTGAAACTTAAGGGCCACCTTGAATGCAAGAGCTGTTTATTCTTTTTTTTTTTTGTTTTTTTATTGATGACAAACAGGTTTTAAAACAAAACTGAGACCAAAAAAAAATTAATTAATTTAAAAAAAAAAAAAAACCAAAAAAAAAAAAAAAGAGTTTTAACACCGTGCTAGCACTGATGTCTGGATTTGTAAAACTCAAAAGAGTTTGAACTGCTACAAAGGAAAAAACCAGCACGAAGCAGAGGCAAGCATTCCCAGCAGTGAAATAAAGGGTGAGGGGAGAGGAGGGGGCTACATTACTCATGGAAAGCTTTGCACAGAGGGGTTCAGCTTAAACCTACCCGAAAAGTCTACGCCACTACGCTGCCTACCAAGGAAAAAAAATTAAAAAGCCCTTCGGCAATGTTAATAAATAAAACAAGTCCATCTCACGAGGAAGGAAGGTGGCCTGTGTCTCCATTCTTTCACTGTTTTAGGATCTAAACTTTGGAGGCTTTGGATGAGAAAAGAATGGGTTTTGTGAGTCGAGTTTTTTGTGGTTTTTGCAGTTTCTGCAGCTCCCCCCGGGGCTGGGGGAGCACGTCCCTCCCGGGCTGGGGGGTCCCAGGCCAGGGCTGCTCTGGGGGCAAATCCAGCAAATCCAGGGCAGGGATCTAGGACCAGGACAGGACTGCAAGGGCTTCCCCCCTCCCCGGGTACAAAGTGGGCTTTGAGCTGTTTGAAGTACATTCAGATGAGAGGTATTTTGAGTTTTTCCCCCCCCAAAAAAAAGGACCAGAAACACTTGGAGCCCTTTGAGTGTAAAGCTTAACTCCAGGCTGAGGAACTCCCAGGCTCTGGATCAATCTCTGGCCAGTTGGGAGGTAGAGGTTTCTCTAATTCAGGATCTAGAACGGGGCTGGAGGAATCAATTCTCTCTCTCTGCTCCTAGAAAAGGTTTGGACAGGAATGAAAAGCCCCCAGGTGTTCCCTGTGAGTGCTCAGGGCGTGCATGGCTGGGATCTCTGCTGCTGAAGCAAAGCTCCTCCAGCTCCCCACCCTGCCCCCTCCTGCCTTTGCCACCCCAAAGCCTGACCCGTTCTCCCAAATCAAACCCAGCTCTGTCTCTCAGAGGCCACCACCTTCCACCACCCGCCTGCTTTGTCCGTCTGTCCGTCCTGCTCCTGCAGTGGCGTGGAGTCTTTCCTGCCATCCAAAATAATCCCCAATTTCCACTACTCCTCCCCGAAAGCTGCGGGGACCAAAGCAGGCCTGGCTGCACCTTCCCTCCAGGGCCGAAGGGCACAGGAACCCGTCCCCTTTCAAGCATAAATTCATCTTACAGAAAGGCTGTTTTTCACAGAGTAGAGTCCAGACAGTTGCCAATTAAAGCATACAGAAAACACTTTGAAACCCTCCTGCTCGAGCACGCAGGCTCCTCTCACTCTAAACCTATCCCATGTAGGAAGAAGAGGCTGATTGCTGCAACTTGAAATCACACTGAAAGTTCTCAAGGATGGTGCTCTAATTTTTTGTTTGAAACGTATTTTTTTTTGGTTTTTTGGGTTTTTTTTAAGGTTTTTTTGTAATATAAGCTTCTCAGAACAAGGATCTAAATCTCCCAGGTCCACCACTAAGAATTCAGAGACAAAACTTCTTAAAAAATTCAGTGCTCTTTTTGAAAGAATCTCTTTAAAACCACCTCGTTCAGAATGTGGGCGACACGATGACAACAAATTTCAGAGCCAGTGTTGGACAACAAAACCTGCACCTCAGAGTTGAGCAGCAGCTGGATTTCTGCTTGGCTGGCTGCCACCCAGGCAGGGACTTGCTCTTTCTCTCTCTCTCTCTTTATTTTTTTTTCCCTTCTCTCAGATACTCCGCTTCGGGAATGCAAACAACTTCCTGCTAAAATATTTTGAGTACCCCTCACAAAACGAGCCCAACTCTGAGATGAGGGTTTTCCTCTCCCCATCTGCTCTGAAAAGTTCATGCCCTGCTCGCAAAGAGAAGTATGGAATGAAGTGAGACCTGCTTTGTTAAGGCCCTTCTCCGGAGCCGGGCTGACTGGGGCAGCAGGGGCTCAGCTGAGCGCTCCTGCCGTGAGTTCCGTGCCTGAGCCACTCCTGCAGGGCTCTGTCCCCTCTCCTCGTCAGTCTCCTTGTCCCAGTGAGCTCCAGCAGTGGCTCTCTCGCGTGCTCCTCTCTCTCTCTCTCCTCTCCGTTGCTTGGTTTCTTTCTCCTGTTGCTCTCACACAGTGGTGCTTCAGTTTTAGCAGTGGAAAACAGGTATCCGTTTTATTTTATTTTTTTTATTACCCAGAATAAAATGCTGATGAACTAAGCTCCACATAAGCTTAGCTCTTCTTCCTCAACCTGGGGGCAGAAGGAGAGATGAGTTAGGAGAGGCCCTGCTCACCCAGTCAGGCTTAAACCGGGGAGGGGACAGCTTAAATCAGGGAGAGGACAGCTTAAATCAGGGGGAGGGGACAATTTAAATCAGGGAGGGGACAGCTTAAACAGGGGAGGGGACAGCTTAAACTGGGGAGGGGCCAGCTTAAACTGGGGAGGGGACAGCTTAAATCAGGGAGAGGACAGCTTAAATCAGGGGGAGGGGACAATTTAAATCAGGGAGGGGACAGCTTAAACCGGGGAGGGGACAGTTTAAACCAGGGAGGGGACAGCTTAAACCGGGGAGGGGACAGCTTAAATCAGGGAGGGGACAGTTTAAACGGGGACAGCTTAAATCAGGGAGGGGACAGTTTAAACCAGGGGGAGGGGACAATTTAAATCAGGGAGGGGACAGCTCAGCTCAGGGGATGGGGACAGTTTCAGTCAGGGGGAGGGGACAGGGTCCTTACACTCTAATACTGTGACAGTCCCGTCACTCCACCATGTTGATATGCTCGTTCTCCCTGGTAAGTTGAGTCCTGTGACAGCGCCACGTCAATCTGGGATTTAAACTCATCACCAAGGTAACTGTCCTGCAAGGGGAGAGGTGAGGGAAGCCTCAGCATCAGTGTCCAGCTCAAGTGCAAGGCAGAACCAGGTTAATCATGAAGCTGAGAGCGTTTGGGTTTTTTAAATCTGCTTTTTTTGGTGCAGGATTTCCCTAAATTCAGGGGGTTTTGAGCCGTTTATCAGCTGAAGCAACATTTCACTTTCATGCCCCCAACAGAGCAGGCTGTAAATGCTGCAGCTGAGTCACTGAGAGCAGTTTCAGTTTCGTTTCTCTCAGGAGGGAGGAGGTGCAGGCACGGATCACCAACACAAACCCCAGGAACAGCTCCCAAAATGCACACTCACCTGGGATAATTCCGGTTGGGAGAGCCCAGGCTGACTCATCTGGGAGGGCTGGCTCATGGAGATGTAGCCCTGGGTCAGGGGGCCCTGGGAGAAGGGCTGGGACACCACGTCCTGGCTGGCCTGGCTGTTGGGGAGGTTGGACTGGCTCGTGCCAGGAATCCCAAATCGGTTTTTCTGCCGCCCGCCGCGGCCCGTCTTCCCTTTGGGAGCCCCACGGCCTGGAAGAGAGCCCACCCCGCCCAGCAGTGAGAACTCTGACAGCTACCAACACACTTCTTAGGGAATTTAATCCCTCCCCCAGGTGGCTTTTTGGGTGTTTTTGCCCCCTTACCTGCAGCGGGGCCGTTGGCCTGGCCGAAGTAGCCCGGGGGGGGCATCGGGGGCATGACGAGGTTGAAGGGGATGGGAATGTTCATGGCAGTGACGTGGCTGGGGCCAGCACTGATCATCCCAATCTGGTCGTGGGTTTGGAAGTACATGTTGGATGGACGCCCTGGGAGAGGGGAGAGCACAGGGATTGCAGGAATTGTGGCTGTTTCAGCATCAACCCCCAGCCCCAGGAGGGAAAAGGAGGAGCTCCCCCTGCCAGGGCAGCAGCGTTTGTGCCTCGCTGTTTATCCCACACTGCAAATGCCAGAAATCCACCCAACACAGGCTCACCCCACAGCTCCTCCTCACAGCACCACCTGAGACCCCTGAAATGCTTCTCACACTCCTTTCCCCCTCATTCTGCACTTGCTCTGCACATGTCAGCTTGGGATTTTATTTACAGAGAGCAAAATCCAGGCTCGAGACTTTCAGGCCTCAAATTCATCCTGAACATTTTCAGTTGTTAAATTAAATCCCAAACATTTCAGCCTCAAATTCATCCACAGCATTTTCAGTCCTTAAATTCATTCCATTTTCAGCCCTTAAACTCATCCCAAACATTTCAGCCTCAAATTCATCCACAGCATTTTCAGTCCTTAAATTCATTCCATTTTCAGCCCTTAAACTCATCCCAAACATTTCAGCCTCAATTTCATCCCAGACACTTCAAGTCTCCAATTTACCCCAAATATTTCAGCCTCAACTTCATCCCAAACATTTTCAGCCCTCAAATTTATCCCAAACGTTTTCAGTCCTTAAATTCATTCCATTTTCACCCCTTAAAACTCATCCCAAACATTTTCAGTCTTCAAACTCCACCAATTCCAGTTCTCAAATTCCATTTCCGTACTTTGAAGTTTAAATCTTTAACAAATTCAAAATGTTCACAAGTTTAAAAGCTTTTAAGAAGTTTCCAAGTTTGAAGTGTGTAAGATGTGATCCCTCAGGGGCTGGTCAGGGGAAAAAGAAAGGCCTGCAAGTGAATTTTGGGGATTTGCTTTACCTTGGCTGCTGCGGTCGTAGACAGAGCCAGGGATGATGGCCTCCCGTGCATCATACATGGCAGTGGTCATGAAACGGGCACCCTGCAGAGATTTTGGCAATTAGCCATTCATCCTCATTTCCTTCCCCCCAGAAAACCTTGCACTGCAACCTCAGTGGAAGCTATTTTGGGTAAAAATCCATAAAATTCCACAGATGGAACAAATGTTGTGGAAATTAATTCTGACGCATAGAAAACTTTTAATTATTATTTCAGCCACATCCTGAACACCAAAAATAAGATTTTCCAGCAGCCTGTCCCAAACTGTGAGACATTTGATGAGTTTTCAGTCTATTCTGAGGCCCTGGCAATTCCCTTGCTCCATTCACTGTCCTGTGGTGGCTGCCAAGCTCCCCCATTAACAATTTATGTTCAAAATCAAGTCTAAAACTTGTAGCTTGAGGGTTAAAACTGAGTTTTCCCTTTCTACCACTTCCTTCATTTCATCCACCTCAAGATTTACCCCTAATAAAACCCTGCAATTAAAAAGAAACAATGAAGTTTGCTCAGCCCCGGGACAGCAGCAGCTGCTTCTCCCTGAAGTCACGCTGCACCAAAAATGGAAACTCGTGGGGGTGTGAGGCTGTGTGGGTGGCTCGTTGCACCCATTTAGGATTAATTAAGCCATCAGGGGCTAATTGGCTGCTGCCAGAGCCCGGGGGGTCACTCACAGGGTTGATGGTGTTGACCAGCTTGCGGGGTTTGCTGAACTGCATGAGGCTCTCGCGCAGGTTGTTCAGGGGCCCCTCCACCAGCACCTTCTGCTCCTTGTAGTAATTGAGGAGGTGATTCCAGAGGGGCTGCTTGGACAGGGCCTTGGGGTTGCCCACAATGATCACCCCGTACCTGTGAACACAGAGGAAGCACAGCTGGTGGTGTTAAAAGCAGGTTGGTGTCACAACAGCCCCCGGGCTCTTCTCTCTGGGAGCTGCAGGAGGAGCCTGATGCAGCTGGAATTGTTCACAGCAACAATTCCAGATGTGGCTCAGCAGCTGGAAGGAGATTGCTGCAGGCAGCAGCACAAAGTTCCTCCTTCAGGCTCGCTCTGTGTCCAACCAAACCCTCCTGTGCTGGTTTTGAAGGCTGGAAACACCAAGGAAGCCAAGCAGCACCGTGCTGGATTCCACCTCAGCCTTTTGGAGTCAAAGCCATTAAAAAAAGCCAAATGGGCACAAAATGTTTGCTGGAAGTGAAAGCAGCAGATGAAGGGAAGGGATCTGTGCTGAAAACGGGAAGGACATGGTGACTTCCCAAATTTACTGATGCCAAATGGTGCCAGGGGCTGAGATGAGCCGATAAAAACGGCACAGAACGGTTTGGGCTGCAGGGACCTTAGAGCTCACCCAGTGCCACCCCTGCCAGGGGCAGGGACACCTTCCAGCTGCTCCAGCCTGGCCTTGGGCTCCTCCAGGGATGCCACAGCTGCTCTGGGAATTGCACCCCAACCCCTCCCCACCCTCAGAGGGAAGGATTCCTTCCCAGTCTCCCACGCAGCCCTCTGGAAGCCACTCCCTGTGTCCTGTCCCTCCATCCTCTCCCTGTTTCCTGCAGTTCCCTCACCTGGCTCTTGTCAGGGCCACGTTGAGCCTCCTGGGGTCGTTGAGGAAGCCAATGCCCTGGTGCTCGTTGGCCCTCACACAGGACAGGATGATGAAATCCTTCTCCCTGCCCTGGAAGGCGTCCACGCTCGCAATTTCCACTTCCTGCAACACAGGAAAACACCTCAGGCACGGAGGCAGAACAGCTCTGCCAGCAGCAGGCACTGCCAAGGGCCTGGCCACGCACTCAGCCTTCCATCAGCTGAGAAAAATGTTGGTTTTGGAGGGAGGAATGATTTGGTAATTCCTCTGGGCACGGAGCAGCTTCCCCAGGGGGAACAGGGAGTCTCAGTTTAGAATTTCCTCTCATGTTCAGAGCTTTATGGTTCTCCTGTTTCCCCAAAACTGTGCAAAGCAGCTCTTTGCTTGAGGATGTTGCCAAAAAGTTCTGACTGTTCCAAAATTTTGTAGGATGGGAGGTCCAAATTAGCTCTGAGAAGCCTCAGTGAGAGGGACACATCATTCCTGGCACAGGGAAAAATATTTCCACCAAGTTTCCCTGCAGTGAAAACACTGCTCAAGTTCTCAATCTTGCAAAACAAGACCACATTAAACACAGAATTGTCCTGTTTGTAGCAGCTCATTTTTCTGTTTGCTGGAGGAGTTTCACTGGTGGCAGGATGTGTTCCCAAGCAAATAAATTGTGTGGCCACCAGGATTTATTTGCTTGGTTTCCTGCACGTCCCTTGGCACGGGGGGCTGATGGAGGTACAAGGTTTTCCACAGTGACCTTTCCCTTCTGTGTCTCCCAGGATTTGTTACAGCCTCTTCCCACACAGACTTTTCCCTGTTCCCATTGGTACCTCCTAACTCTTCTCCTTGATTTTAACCAACTTAAAAACTCAAAAAAAATCAATCGATATTAACCCAAAACCAACTGAAAAATTCAAAACCACTGAGCCTGAAGATGGAACAAACATTAAAAACCATTGAGAATTTCCCAGTGTGTGACTTTTTTGTGTGCAGCCCAGTACCTGGTAGAGCTTGGTGTGCAGGGAGCCACTGAACTGCATGTACTGCACCAGGTAGGAGCGCTGCCCCTCGTAGGGGGTGATGATGCCAATCTGGTCAGGCTTGGCCCCAGCCTTGAGCAGCTTGGTGGTGATCTTCTCCACGTTGGCAGCCTCCGTCCTGGAGAGGCAGATTGGGTCAGCCAAGGAGGGTCAGGCCATCAGGGCTCAGTTTTTAGTGAGTTAATGGGATTTAAAAGCCTCCCGTGTGAGGGTGTTTCGATGGAAAGATCAATTGTGCTCGAGCATTGCAATTAATTCAGCTCGAGCTCCTCACTCTGGACATGCACAGAGGAATTTGGGCCAAAACCAACATCCCAAAGGCCTGAGAACCACACAAATTTCACCCCCACCGTCTCAGAACTGCACAACAAACAACAAAACCTCCTCAATTCCAAATGGGATTTCTTGCTGGAGTTAAATGTACACGTGGAACTTTTAAAATCAACATCATTCCAAACATCCCCCGGATCCTTCAGCTGCTTTATCTTAAAGCTTTAAATATAGAATGTTTTGAATGTCAATGCCCCCTATCAGCCAAGCATTGTGCTGTTTGTTTGTGCACAATCTGCTCCACTGTATCCAGTCTTGCACATGCTGCTCAGGAAACAGACTGAGATTAAAAATATCTCAGCTGATATTTTTTTCACAAGTTGGGCTGGTTTCCCTGCCAGGCACGTGAACAACCATGACCCAAGAGGAGCAGATTTTACTTTTATTTGTTGAAAAAGAAGTTTGAGTGTGCAGAAAAAAGGGATAGGGGAAAAAAAAAAAAAAGTTAATTTCAATCCCTTTTGAAGTAAATCTGAGATTTAGGATTCTGCTTGAGGAGTTATTGGAATTCAGAATGTCACTTGATCAGCAATTCCTGCTGGCCCAAATTCATCCACATCAGGCATTTTGTCATGTCCTGTTCCTTCTTCACCCAGGGAAGGTGAACTCCTCCACAGAGCACTCCCAGCTCAGCCCTGAGCTGCTCCTGGTGCCTTTTCCTCCTGGTTTGCAATGAGAGGAGCCCAAACCAGCTCTGAAATGCAGCTCAGGCTGCAGCCCCTGATGGAGGCTTTTAGGAAAGCACAAATTTATCCACGAGGAGCAGCAGCCCTGCCCTGCACACTGAGCCAGGTCAGACACCAGAGTTGTGCTCACCTGTTCAGGTAAGAGGTGCCTGAGCTGGCAATCTCCTCCTGTCCCTGGGTCACGTAGAAGAACATGGGTTTGTCAGGCTGGGGCCACTGGAAATCAAAGCCTTTCTTCACCCTGTCAGCTGAGGAGCACAGCAACAGGAGCAGAACAAATCAGCAACACCACTTGGCAATTTCCATATCAAAGAGCCTCAAAATGAAGCGTGATGCAAATTTTTTTTATTAAAAAAAACCAAACCCAGATGAGAGAATGCCTGCTTTGATCCTGCTCAAGATTTGCAGCTCTCCCCAAAGGCTCAGAAACCTTTAGTGTCACTCTCTTTTCAGATGATCATTTCAATATAAAATATTATTCACTCTCCAGATTGTTCCAACAGCACCAACACCTTCCAGGCCATGGAAACAGAAACTAGCAGGGCTAACCCCAAAATGAACAGGGCTAACCCAAAATGAACAGGACTAACCCCAAATGAACAGGGCTAACTCTAAATGAACAGGACTAACCCCAAAATGAACAGGACTGACCCCAAAATGAACAGGACTGACCCAAAATGAACAGGGCTAATCCCAAAATGAACAGGACTCCAAATGAATAGGACTAACCCAAAATGAACAGGATTAACCCCTTATGAACAGGACTAACTCCAATTGAACAGGACTGACCCCAAAATGAACAGGGCTAACCCCAAATGAACAGGACTAACCCCAAAATGAACAGGGCTGATCCCAACTAAACGGGCCTGACCCCAAATGAACAGGACTAACCCAAAATGAACAGGACTGACCCCAAATGAACAGGACTAACCCCAAAATGAACAGGACTAACCCCAAATGAACAGGACTGACCCCAAATGAACAGGACTGACCCCAAAATGAACAGGACTAACTCAAAATGAACAGAACTCCAAATGAACAGGGCTGACCCCAAAATGAACAGGGCTAACCCCGAATGAACAGGACTAACCCCACACGAACAGGACTAACCCCAAATGAACAGGACTAACCCCAAATGAACAGAACTAACCCCAAAATGAACAGGACTAACCCCAAATGAACAGGACTAACCCCAAATGAACAGGACTATCACAAAAAGAAGCCAGCCAGGTTTCTATGATGGAAAGGGAAACACTTTGTGTCCCTCCACTGGGAACGCGGCCGCTCAGCACTACTCCCTGCCACATTCCCCAGCTCCATTTCTGAGGGGAGGCCAGGATCCTGCTGCTTTGCCCCGCGGTGCTGCTGAGGCTGGCAGCAGCCCCTCACCTGCGGTGACGCCGTTCTGCAGGGAGCCCTCGTAGAAGATGTTGGAGGGGAAGGCGCTGAGCGCGGGGTGCATGCGGTACTGCACCTGCAGCCGGATGGGCCGGATGCCCAGCACCACCAGCCTCTCAAACAGGGACTGAGACAGCCCGGCCTTGGCTGCCTTCTTGCACATCACCACAGGCCCCAGCTGGCAGTGGTCACCCACCAGGATCAGCTGTGGGAAGAGTTTGGGGATAGATGGGTTTGGTTGGAGTAACGGAAATATCCTAGGGGGAAATGGGGGATTGAGATGTGGGATGGGAGGGTCTTAAATCCCACCACGTGCCACCCCTGGGGCACTTCCCACAATCCCAGGGGCTCCAACCTGGCCTTGGGCACTTCCAGGGATGCAGGGGCAGCCACAGCTGCTCTGGGAATTCCATCCCATTCCCTCCCCCCCCACCCAGCCAGGAAACCCTTCCCAAGATCCCACCCAAATTTCCCTTTTCCCAGTTTAAATCCACTCCCTGTGTCCTGTCCCTCCATCCCTTGTCCCCAGTCCCTCTCCAGCTCTCCTGGAGCCCCTTCAGGCCCTGCAAGGGCTCTGAGCTCTCCCCAGAGCTTCTCTTTTCCAACCTGGCCGTGGACAATCCCAGGGACAAGGCAGCCACAGCTGCTCTGGGAATTCCATCCCAGCCCCTCTCCTCCTTCACAGAAACGATTTCCCCTAAATATAAAATCCAAACCCACTCTCTGTCAGTTTAAACCATTCCCTGACATATCAGGAATTAATCATTCTAACTTGTGATAGGCTTCAGCTCTCCCCAAAGGCTCAGAAACCTTTAGTGTCACTCTCTTTTCAGATGATTTCCAACCTGGCCTTGGACAATCCCAGGGACAAGGCAGCCACAGCTGCTCTGGGAATTCCATCCCAGCCCCTCTCCTCCTTCACAGAAACGATTTCCCCTAAATATAAAATCCAAACCCACTCTCTGTCAGTTTAAACCATTCCCTGACATATCAGGAATTAATCATTCTAACTTGTGATAGGCTTCAGCTCTCCCCAAAGGCTCAGAAACCTTTAGTGTCACTCTCTTTTCAGATGATCATTTTATATTAAAATCTTGGTAACGCTCCAGGTTGTTCCAACAGCACCAACACCTTCCAGGCCATGGAAACAGAAACTAGCAGGGCTAACCCAAAATGAACAGGGCTGATCCCAAAATGAACAGGGCTGACCCCAAAATGAACAGGGCTGATCCCAAAATGAACAGGACTAACCCCAAAATGAACAGGGCTGACCCCAAAATGAACAGGGCTAACCCCAAAATGAACAGGGCTGATCCCAAAATGAACAGGGCTGACCCCAAAATGAACAGGGCTGACCCCAAAATGAACAGGGCTGACCCCAAAATGAACAGGGCTGATCCCAAAATGAACAGGGGTGACCCCAAAATGAACAGGGCTCATCCCAAAATGAACAGGGCTGACCCCAAATTAAGTGCCTGCACTGGGAATGTGACTGCTCAGTGCTACTTCCTGCTGTGTTTCCAAACCCCCTTTAGGGGATTCCAGGGATGGATTTACCTGCTTTGCCCCCAGGACCACGGGCACCATGCACTCGGGCTCGGTGGCCTGCGTGCTCTCGTCGATGAGGATGGAGCGGAACTGCATCTTGGCCAGCCTGGGGTCTCCAGCTCCCACACACGTGCAGCAGATCACATCAGCATTCTGGGACAGGGGGAGAGGGGTCAGCACCGGGAGGGGGGCACTGGGAGGGGGACAGCACTGGGATGGGGACAGCATGGATTTGGTGTAGCAGCAAGGATTTGGGGTGGCAGCAGGGATTTGGAGTAGCAGCACAGATTTGGGGTGGCTGCAAGGATTTGAGGGGGCAGCAGGGATTTGGGGTGGTGGCCACAGGGATTCGGGGGCACAGCCCTGGGGATTTGGGGGGGGGGACAGCCCCAGGGATTCAGGGGGACAGCCCCAGGGATTCAGGGGGACAGCCCCAAGGATTCGGGGGGCAGCCCCAAGGATTCGGGGGTGGCAGCCCCAGGGATTCAGGGGACAGCCCCAAGGATTCGGGGGTGGCAGCCCCAGGGATTTGGGGGGCAGCCCCAAGGATTCGGGGACAGCCCCAGGGATTTGGGGGTGGCAGTCCCAGGGATTCGGGGGCAGCCCCATGGATTCGGGGGACAGCCCCAGGGATTTGGGGGGACAGCCCCAGGGATTTGGGGGGACAGCCCCAGGGATTTGGGGGGACAGCCCCAGGGATTTGGGGGGCAGCCCCAGGGATTCGGGGGGCAGCCCCAGGGATTTGGGGGCAGCCCCAGGCCCTCACCATGAGCAGCTCCCGCTCCGCCGTGCGCTTCAGCGCCCGGTAACGCTTCTCATCAGCAGAGGAAAGTTCTCCAGTCTCATCCTTGAGCTGCTGCAGCTTCTGAAGCTCTGGCATGCTGAAAAAAACCCCAGGAATTTTGTTTCACAGCCCAACCAACTTTGTAGGATTGCGGTGCAAGTGATTTTTAACTAAAACAAAACAACCCCATCAAGCAAACAGCGGCGCCGCAGTGACAACACCCCTCAGCTCATCAGGAACACCAAAAATGGAGGTTTTTCCTCAGTGCTCACCTGTCCATGTTCCTGATCTGGTTGTGCAGGGCCAGGAAGGACACGGGGGAGTCGATGGCCTCGCGGCTCTTGGCACACAGACGAACCACCTTGAGGCCAGTCTGGTGGATCTTCTCCGTCAGCTGATCCACAGCGATGTTGCTGGGGGCACACACCAGCACAGGCCTGGGAAAACCAGCCAAAAATCAGCCAAAAATCTCAATAAACTGAAACTCCTTTCCACTAGACTTGAAATAAAATATAAGTAGTAGCACATCCCCTAAGAATGTGCTGGGGAAGGGAATTTTGTGCAAGGAGCCCAAGTCTCCCCAGGAAATACAGCTCCATTTTGTGCAAGGAGCCCAAGTCTCCCCAGGAAATACAGCTCCATTTTGTGCAAGGAGCCCAAGTCTCCCCAGGAAATACAGCTCCATTTTGTGCAAGGAGCCCAAGTCTCCCCAGGAAATACAGCTCCATTTTGTGCAAGGAGCCCAAGTCTCCCCAGGAAATACAGCTCCATTTTGTGCAAGGAGCCCAAGTCTCCCCAGGAAATACAGCTCCATTTTGTGCAAGGAGCCCAAGTCTCCCCAGGAAATACAGCTCAATGACACAAATTATTTTTGCTTTTTAAATCAAGGTGATTCTTTGCATGAATCAGCCTTATGCATAAAGGCTCAGAGGGAGCAGCTCTCACCCATTGCCCTGCCTGGCCAGGTGATACACGATGGTGGCTGATGTCACTGTTTTCCCAGTGCCAGGGGGACCCTGGATAAGGCTCAGAGGACGCTGCAGGACAGTCTTGACAGCATAAACCTAAACAAAAAAAATAAGGTTTATTGTTATTTAACATTCCCAGCACAGGATTTCAGTTGTTTAACCTCTGTTTATAAATCCTTTCTGTCATCCTGGGCAGTGAGAGGAGATGAGGTTACCTGAGAGTGGTTGAGATCAGGGAGTCCCTGGGCTGTGAAGCGTTTTGGCAGCTGGCATTTGATGATGACATCTTCCACCTCGTGGCCCAGCAGTTTGTGGTAAATGTACCCAGACACTGAGGTCTCATCCACTGCAAATGTTTTCAGAGCACTCTGCATCCTGAAATGAAGGAAAAGCAGGAAAATTATTCCTAAAGATCAGTGTGAGGCACCCCCAGGTGTCCTACAGCAGGTATCAGACACAGATGGGAAAGAACAACAACCAACACTTATTAACAGAGTTAAAAATCACAGAAATTGTGCTCTGAGAACACAGATTTTGCTTTTTCCCCACGTGAACATTACAAGGTATTCCCAGAAAAATGTGGAGAGGAACACCAGTTTTGGTGACAGAATCTGGGACAGTAGTTTGAGGTGCAAGGACCTGAGACAGGAATTTAGGTGCAAGATTTGAAGAAAATTTGTAGTCATAATGAATAAAGTAATAGGATAAGAGGAGATAATAATAATAGGGTATATTACTAATAGGAAATTCTAATAACAGGATAAGAAGCCAACTCCTGTCTTACCAATCACAGACTTGGCTGAAGCCTGTGGGCCCCACAGCCAAATTCTGATATTTTAAAGCAATTTCAGGAAGCTCAACTATAGAATTGTTTTTCTTCTTCTGTTTCAAGGGTTATTTAACAGAAGGTAAATTTCTCCCTTTGATCTCTTTGCAACAAACCCTTCAAAATGAGAAAAATTGGCCATTTTGTGCCATGAATTCCATTTCTGAACCAGGTACTGAGATCTCTGATGGGTGCTGCTAAACCAAGACATATTTTTTGGTTGAAAAACACTGAAGGCAAAGAACAAAAACCCTACAGCGAGGTGCTGCCTCAATACCTGTCAAAGGAAGTGGATTTCCAGACAAAATCCACCTGGAAGTTGTGAGTGACCTCCACGGGAGCTCCCACGCTGCTCCTCAGCTCGATGGCTATCTCATCACCATAATCTGTAGAACCTCGTTAAGTAGTAATTTCGAGCAAAAATTTGAATTTTATTCTCCCCAATTTTGGTGATTTTCTTCAGCAGATCCCTCCCCCCCCACCCCCACCCCGAATTTTAAATTACAGAGAATTATTTTTGGATATAATTAGTGACTTGTTAACGAGTCCAGCTGCGGGCTGGCCCTGCTGAGGGCTCTCTAAGTAAAGGATACTATCAGGAACTTTGATGACGTGCCCAATTCCCTTCCAGAGGGGGGCCAGGTCTCCCTTGTACCTCAGGCAGATCTCATCTCCTTGCATGAGGCGCATGTCTGCAAAGGAAGGGGAAAAAAAAGCTCTGAACAACCACAAAAACCTTGCAGAGGCTCCCCAGGCCAGGCCTCAGAGTGATCTGAATGCTGGTTTTATTCAGGAGGTACAAAAAAAAAAACCCTGGCAAAGAGACAGTGCAGGTGTCCTTACCTGAATCAGTCTTTGGCAAAGTGAAATAAGCAATTCTCTTCTTGTTCAAGCCCAGGTCCCACCTGACTGTGATGTTATCTTGGGTCTGAGGGTAAAAAAAAAGAGCATCTATTATTTTCTTGAAGAATTGTTTGCCAACCACCACAGTCCTGTGTTTCAAAACAGTGCAGAAATGACAAAACTTGCTGTTCCAATGTCACAAAAATCTGTATTCATTCCTGTGGCTGAGTTCACAGCACCTGCAGAAGGTGAATTCTGTTCTGAGAGCTAATGATGAGAAACAAAGTCCTGCTCACCAGCTGTGTAATTCTCCCTCTCTTCCAACACCCATTAAATGTTTCCAGCAGCTCTCAGAACTCCCATTTCCCTGTCAGCTTCTGAGGGTAACAAACAGCTACACTAGTGGGAGAGAAGGTGGTTTTTGGGAAGAAAAACTGGAACACAGAAAAGGTGAGAAGTTCCCAAGTGTTTCAAGCTCTTAAAACCCCTCACTGTGAGGGTTTTCCTCTCCTCTCTCTGCTGTCACAGCACCATCTCTGCTGATATCCCAGTGCTGCTACACCACAGCAATTCAAACATTTATTTACTGCACTCAAAGTTTCATTTTGTGCTGTGATTCCATGTTTGACCCCAGCACTGGTCAGGAGTCCCTCAAAATGCAAATTTCACATATTTTACCTGAGATTCCTTGAGTTTCTTGTCATAATCTGCCTCAAGCTTGACCAGAGGACCAAATATATTTTGGTATTGATAAGCATCTTCGTATCTAAGCAGGACATGCTGGGGTTCCTCATCAACACCAGGTTTTTCCAAGTCCTCGAGGGTTGCAGATGGATTTTCCTGGAAATAAAAGCAGAGATGTTTTGTTTCACAGTTTGAAATATAAAAATTGACAGCAGGACTGGTAAAACTGTGTTTTACTGATACAGGGAGTGATATCAAGGTGGAACCACCCTTAAAGCTACACCAGGGCATTACAAATCATATTAAACCCAGTTGAAATTTTAAAGGATGCACAAAAAACCTCTCAAAAACCCACCCCAAAACTGAATGAGCAACAATCCCCTGCTCTGCTGGGCACCACTTAAAGCAGAAATACTTGGAAGTCTTGATATGAGCAAGGAAAGTTGATTTTCAGCTTGGTGAAGCTTTCAATAACTTCCTGAATGCTCTGCCCACTGTGGCACTGCAGGATTTAAACCTCGTGTGATTTCTGCCTTCCAGAATTCTAAAAAGTCTTGTCCTCCTTTGAAAAAAAAAACCCCTCAGGACTGGTAAAACAAACCCCAAAAAGCTCAGGCTGTACCTTCCAGAGCTCCTCCAGTTTGTTGATCTGCTGGGCTGTGATCTGGCGGGCCCGGAGCTGCTCCTGCTCCGAGGGGATCTTCACCAGCCAGGAGAGGAAGCAGCGGTCCTGGATCAGGGGCTGCCACTGGGAACTGTCCCAGTTGATGTCCTTCAAGCTGCTCTGGCTGGCACATGGCTGCCTGCAGCACCAAAACACAGCCAGGAGTTGTGACATCAGATAAAGTGAGGGGCAGTCTGGTGTGGAGGGTGAAAACTGGGCTGGTGTGCTCCTGAAACTGCTCAAAAAGCAGGGAAAATCCAAGCAAAACAACCCCAGCCTGCTGGGGAAATTCATTTCTCAGTCCTTATTTCAGTATTGTGAGAAGTGTTGTTTGGGTGTTTCCAGAACTGAAAATGCATTTAAAATATTAAATATGACACCTTTGGAGGTGGTTATAAGCCATGAAGAGTGTGCACACACAGACCAGATAAAGAGGTTATTTCCCAAACACAACTTCCTCCACAGAAATACAACTTCTACTGGCAACCACACAGTGACAGCAGCGAATTAAAACACACACAATTATAAATTTTCAGTTCTGACTTAGCCTGTCAGAACAATTTCTCATTTATTGTGGCCTCAAATGACTCTGTGAGCTGAGAGAAAAACACCCTGAGTGAGAGTCACTGTTCCACGGCTCCAGAGTCACTTCCTGAACGGAGCTGTGGCTCTCCCAAAGCTCAAAAAAGAGGGAAAACCACCTTTCTATCACTAAGGAATGCAGAATTTAGGAAAAAATTACTTTTCTACAGAACTGAGATGTTTGCCCACCATAACAAAACTCCCTTTGCTGCATTATCCATCTGCATCCCTGAACTCTGTGCGACCACCTGAAGGAAAAAGGGTGGCAAACTAGAATGCTGGGCCAAAATGAAAGCAAGGACTGCTTTTTATAAAAGCAGATGGTGGAGAGAGCTGGGAGCAGAGCCTTGTCTCACCTGCACAGCAGAACCACCACGGAGTCAGCCTTGGCTGGGATGAAGCCCAGCAGGAAGACGTTGCGGCAGCCGCAGTTGTAGCACTCCAGCACGGTCTCTCCCAGGGGCCCGTCCTTGTGCAGGGTCACCTCCTTGCACTTGGCTCTCACCAGGTGGTTCACAATGTGGCTGCAAGCAAACAGCACAGGTTCAGAGCACAGAGTGACAGCAGTTTCACACCAGAAACACCTTTTTTAGCAGTTAGGAACACGTGAGTAAATCTATTTATTGTGGCACGCGTTGGTAGGATGTGGCTCTTCCCATCCACGCAGGGAACATTTCTCAGTTCTGAGAGTTAAAAGAAGAAGAAACGGGTACAAAGTTGTGTCTGCTCTTTCCATCCGTGCTGGGAATGTTTCTCAGTGCATGGGTGCTCTGAGAGTGAAAAGAAACAGGTACAAAGTTGTGTTTGGTTCTTCCCATCCACGCAGGGAACATTTCTCAGTTCTGAGAGTTAAAAGAAGAAGAAATGGGTACAAAGTTGTGTCTGCCTCTTTCCATCCATGCTGGGAATGTTTCTCAGTGCATGGGTGCTCTGAGAGTGAAAAGAAACAGGTACAAAGTTGTGTTTGGTTCTTCCCATCCACGCAGGGAACATTTCTCAGTTCTGAGAGTTAAAAGAAGAAGAAATGGGTACAAAGTTGTGTCTGCCTCTTTCCATCCATGCTGGGAATGTTTCTCAGTGCATGGGTGCTCTGAGAGTGAAAAGAAACAGGTACAAAGCTGTGTCTGCTCTTTCCATCCATGCAGGGAATGTTTCTCAATGCATGGGTGCTCTGAGAGTGAAAAAAAACAGGTACAAAATTGTGTCTGCTTCTTTCCATCCATGCAGGGAGTATTCCTCACTGCATGGGTCCTCTGAGTGTGAAAGAAGAAATGGGTACAAAGTTGTGCCTGGTTCTTTCCATCCATGCTGGGAACATTCCTCAGTGCATGGGTGCTCTGAGAGTAAAAAGAAACAGGTACAAAGCTGTGTCTGGCTGCTTCCATCCATGCAGGGAGTATTCCTCAGTGCATGGGTGCTTTGAGTGTGAAAAGAAGAAGAAAGGGGTACAAAGCTGTATTTGGCTCTTTCCATCCATGCTGGGAATGTTTTTCAGTTCATGGCTGCTCTGAGTGTGAAAAGAAGAAGAAATGGGTACAAAGTTGTGTCTGCCTCTTTCCATCCATGCAGGGAGTATTCCTCACTGCATGGGTCCTCTGAGTGTGAAAGAAGAAATGGGTACAAAGTTGTGCCTGGTTCTTTCCATCCATGCTGGGAACATTCCTCAGTGCATGGGTGCTCTGAGAGTAAAAAGAAACAGGTACAAAGCTGTGTCTGGCTGCTTCCATCCATGCAGGGAGTATTCCTCAGTGCATGGGTGCTTTGAGTGTGAAAAGAAGAAGAAGAAAGGGGTACAAAGCTGTATTTGGCTCTTTCCATCCATGCTGGGAATGTTTTTCAGTTCATGGCTGCTCTGAGTGTGAAAAGAAGAAGAAATGGGTACAAAGTTGTGTCTGCCTCTTTCCATCCATGCTGGGAATGTTTTTCAGTTCATGGCTGCTCTGAGTGTGAAAAGAAGAAGAAATGGGTACAAAGTTGTGTCTGCTTCTTTTCATCCATGTAGGGAACATTCCTGAGTGCATGGGTGCTCTGAGAGTGAAAAGAAACAGATACAAAATTGTGTTTGGTTCTTTCCATCCATGCAGGGAGTATTCCTCAGTGCATGGGTGCTTTGAGTGTGAAATAAGAAATGGGTACAAAGTTGTGTCTGCCTCTTTCCATCCAAGCAGAGAACATTCCTCAGTGCATGGGTGCTCTGAGAGTGAAAAGAAACAGATACAAAATTGTGTTTGGTTCTTTCCATCCATGCAGGGAGTATTCCTCAGTGCATGGGTGCTCTGAGTGTGAAATAAGAAACAGGTACAAAGCTGTATTTGGCACTTTCCATCCATGCTGGGAATGTTTCTCAGTGCGTGGATGCTCAGATGTGAAAGAAGAAAAGAGTATAAAGTTGTCTCTGGTTCTTTCCCTCCATGCAGGGAACATTTCCCAGTGCATGGGTGCTCTGAGAGTGAAAAGAAACAGATACAAAATTGTGTTTGGTTCTTTCCATCCATGCAGGGAGTATTCCTCAGTGCATGGGTGCTCTGAGTGTGAAATAAGAAATGGGTACAAAGTTGTGTCTGCCTCTTTCCATCCATGCAGGGAATGTTTCTCAGTGCATGGGTGCTCTGAGAGGGAAAAGAAACAGGTACAAAGCTGTGTCTGCTCTTTCCATCCATGCAGGGAATGTTTCTCAATGCATGGGTGCTCTGAGAGTGAAAAAAAAAAGGTACAAAATTGTGTCTGCTTCTTTCCATCCATGCAGGGAGTATTCCTCACTGCATGGGTCCTCTGAGTGTGAAAGAAGAAATGGGTACAAAGTTGTGTCTGCTTCTTTTCATCCATGTAGGGAACATTCCTGAGTGCATGGGTGCTCTGAGAGTGAAAAGAAACAGATACAAAATTGTGTTTGGTTCTTTCCATCCATGCAGGGAGTATTCCTCAGTGCATGGGTGCTTTGAGTGTGAAATAAGAAATGGGTACAAAGTTGTGTCTGCCTCTTTCCATCCATGCAGGGAACATTCCTCAGTGCATGGGTGCTTTGAGTGTGAAATAAGAAATGGGTACAAAGTTGTGTCTGCCTCTTTCCATCCATGCAGAGAACATTCCTCAGTGCATGGGTGCTCTGAGAGTGAAAAGAAACAGATACAAAATTGTGTTTGGTTCTTTCCATCCATGCAGGGAGTATTCCTCAGTGCATGGGTGCTCTGAGTGTGAAATAAGAAACAGGTACAAAGCTGTATTTGGCACTTTCCATCCATGCTGGGAATGTTTCTCAGTGCATGGATGCTCAGATGTGAAAGAAGAAGAAGAGTATAAAGTTGTCTCTGGTTCTTTCCATCCATGCAGGGAACACTCCTCAGTGCATGGGTGCTCTGAGAGTTAGAAGAAGAAGAAATGGGTGCAAAGACTTTTTTGTCCCATCATTTCCTCCTTACCTGCCAGAGGTGTTTCCACGGCCGTTGCAGAACCATTTCTTGCTGGTGTTGCAGTAAACCACGCAGGCAGGGTCGTGGATCCCACAGTAGCTGCAATTCCAAAGGGAAACCAGCAAGTGATTGGTTACTGCTGAGAGGAAAACCCAAATCCAAGCTCTAACTGGATTTATAGGGCACAAAATAAGGAGAAGTGAAAACTGGGGAATATCAGTGCTGGGAGAAGCATCAAACAGGAGCCAAATTTCTGTTGTGAGTCACAAATATTTGATATTTTTAACATTAATTTTCAAAATGCTCAATATTTAATATTCCCATCACTGGGGTGGCTGAGCCTGGGATTTCTCCCCCGGGGAGCTGGCCACAAGTGGACGTGGCAGCTCCAAATCTGTTCAAGAAATCCCAGAGCAGCTGAGGGAGCTGTTCCCAAAATCCCTTTCCTTCCCTCGTGCCCTCTGGAGCCCCACCTGCAGGCGTGCACAGGGAGATCCTTGGTGTAGTAAGTGTCCTCCTCATCCTCCTCGAAGTTGAGCTCTGCCAGGAGCTGGCTGGTCTTGGCCACGTTCTCATCCACAGCTCCATTCTGCAGGATCCCATCAGGACCGTTCACCTGGGATTCGGGGTGCACACCCAAAATCAACCCCAAAATCCTGTGTGGCACTGGAAAACCCCCAGAGAAAAGTGCCAAGAGCATTCTACACACACCCATTATACAAGCAGGATTTGCTCCATCAGCTCCTGTTTTCCAGGATTATTTCAATTCCAACTGATAAGTTGGAATAAAGTTTCCAGGAGGAGATTGCTTTCCTGCAGCTTGTACTTTTCCATACAATCCCACAATCAATACTTGCTCCATCACCTCCTGTTTCACAGGATTATTTAAACTCCAACTGATAAGCAGGAAAACAAGGAGATTGCTTTTCTGCAGTTACATTTTTCCACAGCCTTACGTAACAAAATTCCATTTCAACAATTCCAGCAGCTGTTTTCTCACCCTTTTTTTTTATTCCAGGGATCCACCTGGGAACAGGAATTTCCCCCACCTATTCCTGCATCCACCGTGGACTGCCAGAACCACGGAATTCTGCAACATTTGGTGCTGTCTCAGCAACCTTCCCACCCCCAGCCTTTCTCCTGATCAAAATAACTCCATTTTTTGGCACTTTTACCAGCAGGAGGTGTGGATGTCACTGGGATTTTGGCATGGCCACTGCAGGTGTTGCCCCCTGGGCTTCCCAGGTGTCCTGGTTCAATTTCTCCAGCCCTGAGGGGCTTTAGCACCTCAATACTGAGCTAAAGACCCCAACATTTGGTTTATTCTCTGCTCTCTTTAGCCAAGATCCCACCAAAAGCTGAACAGGGATAAGTTTATCTTAATCCATGTTAATTTTTGAGTGGAAAATGTGGGAAAGGGGCCACCAAAGTGACTGGAATGTTCACAACACATCTGAGGGGAGTGCTGGGGTCATTTCCCTATCTAAGGGGTAATTAACACCCCCCAATGTTTGTGAAGTTAACATTGATTTATAAATTTTAACCAGCCAAACAGGACAAAAACCACTCAAGGCCTTTGTCTCTCAATACAGTATTTTAACAACTCAGGTTTAATGCTATTTCTCTGGGAGGTGCAACTTAATTCTGACAGAAAGCTGAGAACACAAAACCTTTTGTAAAATACATCAAAAAATAAATTAAAAAGTTGCCCTCATCAAGCTGTAATGAAGCAAACTCAGCTTATTCCTCATTTTAGAGAGATCCACATTAAAAATTTAACAGCCAATTGCAAGAGTTAAAGTCCAAAGCCAACTTCCCACTTGCCCTGAGCCATCAGGACCTGCCCTCAAAGCCACCAGCTCCGTTTTCAGCTCTGCAAATGAAATGAGGAGCATTTAAATAACATAAAATAAATAAATGGGCTGACTTTTATTGGTGTTATCTCCAAGCTCTGCCTTTTAATAGGAACAGCCAGGCCAAAGGAAGTGAAAGTGCAAAAGGGAAGATGGAAAAAGGAATCAAAGGCCACGGAAGGAGCAGCAGCAGCAGCACAACCCCCTTAGTGGGTGAGGGCAAACCCCATCAGCTCGCCGTGGAACACACTCTGCACTCATGTCAGCAGATAAATATCCACTTCAAATCCCCATTTCCAACTGAGAGAGCCATTTCAGAAAGATAAATAAAGCCTGATGTGGCCCAGGTGGGATTCCAAAGCCTGGAGTTCAGCTGAACTCCTTACAAGCATTCCCAGGCATTTCTACCCCACAACGCATTTATTTTAAGGTTGGTTGATTTTCATACTTTTTTTTGGGTGCTCATAAAAAACTGCCTTTGTGTTTTTTTTTAAAAAAAGCAGTAAAGTTTGGGTTCGGTTTGGGATTTTTTATGGCAGAGAAGGAAGAAACGTCAAGGGCAGGAGCGGCTGTGCTGTCCCAGCCCTCGGGGAGGCAGCACTGATGTCACCTGTGAAGTGACAGCCCCAGCCCTTGGCAGGCTCTGCATGAGGAAGTGATTGCTCCAAACCCTGGTGTGATGTCAGCCCTGCGTGTGCTGGATTAAAAACCTGGCACGGGCAGCTGTGGTGGCAGGGGGGCCACCGCTCTGCTTGAAAAAAAATGTTGGCTGCAACTTCTGGCACGGCGAGTTTGGCAGCTCCGGGCTGAGCACTGAGGTGCCACAAAAGTACTCCCAAAAACTGCCGGGCCTGCCTCGCTGGCCTCCAAATATTCCCTGCGAGACAAAACAAGGGCCAGGAGAGAGCTGAGGGACAGAAACCAGCGGGGGACAGGGAGCTGTGGCTGCTCCATCCCTGGAAGTGTCCCCAGGATGGCCTGGCAGCAGCCTGGCACAGCGGGAGGTGTCCCTGGGGTGGGATGGGACATTGGGATGGGATTTCAGGCCCTTCCAAGCACCCTGGGAGTCCCTGATCCCATGGAGGAGGTGACAAGATGGTGTTAACCAGGGCTTCCAGTCCCTGAGGGATCCAGGAGAGCTGGAGAGGGACAGGGGATGGAGGGACAGGACACAGGGAGTGGCTCCCAATGCCAGAGGGCAGGGATGGGTGGGATGTTGGGAATTAGGGATTGTTCCTGTGGGGATTCAAGGCCAGGCTGGAGGAGGGAAGCTCCAGGGAGACCTTGGAGCCTCTTCCAGAGCCTAAAGGGGCTCCAGGAGAGCTGGAGAGGGATTTGGGACAAGGACTGGAATCCCAACACAGGGAATGGCTTCAAAGTGGAAAGGGGAATCTGGGTGGGATATTGGGAAGGAATTCCTGGCTGGGAGGGAGGGGAGGAGCTGGGATGGAATTCCCAGAGCAGCTGTGGCTGCCCCTGGATCCCTGGCAGTGCCCAAGGCCAGGCTGGACAGGGTTTGGAGCACCCTGGCACAGTGCAAGGTGTCCCTGCCTCTGGGACTTTAAAGATTTAAGGTTTTCCAGCCCAAATCACGCCGGGATCTGGGATCCTGCGAGTCCTGGACCAGTGCTAACAGAATATTCCCAGCACCCACACCCACCCAGGCCAGGAGCAGAGCCCCAGGTGAGCACACCTGCAGCCTCCTCACCAGCTCTGCTTTCAAGAGCTGCATTTCAAGCTGCAACAAGAACTGTAACTGCCCTTTAACTCCAGCAGGTATTCTGCTAGGAAATTCCTGCAACGAGGCTCCAGCACCATGCTGCTGATGGATTTTCACCACCAAACCTCACATTTTTGGGGTCAGCTGGCAAAGGCAGCTGCTGTTGTGGGTGATTTTCCCTTCAGGGCTTTGCTGGGATCCCCAGTGAGGGTGATTTGCTTTCCCTTTCCCGAGGAGGAAGTTGGGAAAGCCTCGCCCCTGGGAGGGAGCGGCGCTTCCAGATGGGACCTGAGCAACAAGGACTCGTCTGGCCCGGACAAAACAGCCTTTGTTAGCACTGGAAATTAAACCCAGCCTGCCTAGGCCAGACCGCCAGCCTAGGAGCTGCCCCAGCCTCGCCAGGAGCTGAGCTCATCCACACCGAGGGTCCCAGCAGAGAAATCCCACCCACAGCAGGGGAAAACGAGGCAGGAGGGAGAACTGCAGAGAACCCCGGGATGGTTTGGGGGGGGAAGGGCCCTAAAGCCCAGCCAGGGGCACATTCTATGATCCCGGGGTGCTCCTTGGACACTGCAGGGATCCAAGGATGGTTTGGGGTGGGAAGGGCCCTAAACCATCCTTGGACACTGCAGGGATGGTTTGGGGTGGGAAAGCCCTTCCAGAGAAACCTTCCCTGATCCTGGGGTGCTCCTTGGACACTGCAGGGATGGTTTGGGGTGGGAAGGGCCCTAAAGCCCAGCCAGGGGCACATTCCATGATCCCGGGGTGCTCCTTGGACACTGCAGGGATGGTTTGGGGTGGGAAGGCCCTTCCAGCGCAACCTTCCCTGATCTCAGGGTGCTCCTTGGACACTGCAGAGAACCCCGGGATGGTTTGGGGTGGGAAGGGCCCTAAAGCCCAGCCAGGGGCACATTCCCTGATCTCAGGGTGCTCCTTGGACACTGCAGGGATGGTTTGGGGTGGGAAGGGCCCTGAAGCCCAGCCAGGGGCACATTCCATGATCTCAGGGTGCTCCTTGGACACTGCAGGGATGGTTTGGGGTGGGAAGGGCCCTAAAGCTCATCTGGGGGCACCCCCCATGATCCTGGGGTGCTTCAGGGATCCAGGGGCAGCCACAGCTGCTCTGAGGATTTTAAATTCCTCTAAAAACACTTCAGAAATTCGATTGTTATGTTTATTTAATTCTAGGAAACAATGGAAGTAGAGTTTTCTGTAGGAAATGTTTGTGCTCTACTCCTACTTTTGGCAATTGACCACTAATCACTCGTAACACTATTAAACTATTAATTAAATATATTGGGAAAGGACATTCTTTTAAACAAAATACATCAAATTTTCCTAAAACATGAGGTGCCCTGCATTGCTCAACTCATCTTTTCAAAAAGACCCCAGAAACAGCAGAGCAGAAGTTTCCACCTCCAATATTCGTCAGCTCCAAACAAAAATTTTTATTTAATTAGCTTTAATTATAATCACAGGGCTAATATTTCATTAAGCAAATCCTGATCAATTGGAGAAGTCATTATTTAAGATGCCTCCTGCCAAAAAGAACAACAAACTTCAATTACCTGGTGAGGGCAGCAAAAATTTTGCCCAGAACGTTTTAAAAAGCCCCAGATTTTGTGATTTGATCAGCCCTGAGCCCGCTGAGAGGGGCAGGTCTGAGCAGATCCTGGGCTTTGTTTTACTGCACTCGGGAGGAAACGGGGCCTGTTCCACCTCTGAGAGTCCCTCCCCAAAAATGACATTTCTAACGTCAAAATGAGCACCAGGATGACCACAAAAGTTTGCAGAAACTCAAAACCACACTGATTTTTAAAAAACAACAACATAAAATCTCTTTCTTTTAGCCAGGAGACAAAAACAGTACTTGAAGGTGCTCTCCAGAGCTTTTATTTTTTTTTTTACTTTGACTTCAAAGGTTTTTCAAACATGTTCAGACAAAAAAAAAAAAAAAAAAAAAAAAAAAAAAAAAAAAAAAAAAAAAAAAAAAAAAGCCAATTAATAATCCTCTTGTCTGGACTTTCAGCTTATGAGGCTGATTTTGGGGTGGTTTTTCTTCTCCTTGGCCACAAATTCCCTACTGGGAACTCTGGACAGATCACAACCCATTAAAGGTTTAAAATTAAATGTGATTAAAATTCTCTTTTAATGTATAGCCACAGAGATTTTACTGCTGGCAGAAAATAATTCTGATCTCTCAATGCCCAAACTGGATCAATTCTACCAAATCCAAAAGCTGCAAATAAACAGAAAATAACCCGACAGCTCTGAGCTCTCTGACTCACAAACACAGCGACCTGAGCACATCCCTGCTGTCACCGAGCACTTTCAGGCATAAAAATTAATTTCATTTGTGCTGGGATAAACGCCCAGGACAGAAATCCTCCCTCAGCGCTGCCCTGCACACCTGTGGAGCTGGATGTGCTCCCTGCTCCCCTCCCAGACCCAGCCGGGGCAGCTTTTGCAAATAAAAGGACAAAAACCAGGTCCAGGATGTTTGGTTCGGGGATAAAAACTCACCTACAGCTCTCAGCTCGTCTCTAAACTCATCCCTTAACACGTGGGTGATGTACGAGCATTTAATGGTTAATAATGGCATTTCTGTGAGGAACCTGAACATTCCGTGATCTTTAAACTGGAGAAAAGTGTGGCTTTTTTAAAAATAAGGGAGAGTTCTCCGGTGTTTTTGTTGTTTACTACGGGCACATTGAGATTGTTATCTTCATTTGCAGCACTTCTTGCGAGCTGTAATCCTAATTCCTCCCTGCCTACGAGCTGTGAATTGCTAAACAAATACAATTTCACTGTCTTTTAGGTACCAATCATCAACCGTGATAATAAAAAAAACCCCAGAACTAAAACCTGTTTTTAAGCCACGAGGAACCAGAGCTCAGAACTCGTCTCGGGCCTGTCCTTGCCACACAACCCCCCAAACAAACCAGCCCAACAACCGCGCAGCAAAGAAAGTGGAAACTGAAATAAAAAAAAAAAAAATAACAGTAATAACAATTAGAAATTAAAGCTTATTTTAGCGAGGGGGAAGTAAAAAAGCCGAATTTCTTCAGCGGCCAACTTTCGAGAAGCAAACGCCGCGTTTGTTTTAAGGAGAAAGAACCCGAACCGACAACCCAGCCTCGGTGGGGTTTTTATTTTTTCACCTCCCTATCGCAACGACACAACTATCGCGACTCGGCCAGCCGGCCGCAAGTTTCCTCCCCGAACAACTCGCTCCGATTCCGCCTCCCCGGGCTCTCCCCCACACGCGGCTGCCGCTCCCCGCCCGCCCCGGCGGGGCCCGAGCGCCCAACCCCGCCCGCCCCTTCCGGACCCCCCGCTCCTCCGCCGCCTCACGGCCCCCTCACCTGCGCTTCCAGCGGGCCCGGAGCTCCCTGCCCCGCTCCGGGGGGGCCCTGGCCCTGTGGCGGCCCCGCCTGGCCGGGCCCGGGCGGGGTCTGGGTCTGGCTGGGGAGGGTGAAGTCGGTGAACTCGAACTCGGAGCCCTGCGTGTCGGCGCCGAGCAGCTCGGCCTCCTCGGTGTCCAGGAAGGTGAGGGTCTGCGAGCTGGGGCCGTACGCCTCCACGCTCATGGCGGCGGCGTTTCCTCTGGCCGGGAGCCTTCGCCGCCCCCCCTTCCCCACCCACCCCTCAGCTCACCCCGGGCCTCCCCCTCAGCGAGGCCGGGCGGCCGCGCTACGCGAGCGGCGGGATCCGCCGCGCGCACCAGGCCGCGCGCGCCTCCCCCCCCCCCCCACACAAAAAAAAAACCCCCCCCCCCCCCC